AAGTGACAAGTATTAGATTAATTCCAAGTTTAGGGTTAACTCTAATATGAAATGATCAAACAAGTTTTAACACCTCCGAACTTATGAGAGGTATTGAACTTTACTGGGAATTACACTGTGTCTAATGCAACTTTTCTTTGTTAATCAAGAGCTTGGTTGGTTAATTTAGTAAAAAGTTAGATTTAACTCAAAGAACTTATTTTGATTAAATGATTTTCGTAATAAAGATCATTAGAGCTTGTTAATGAACTTTAGTACCAGTTTAAACAAGTGCATAGTCAAATTTTGTGTTGAAGGTTAATTATATGATTAGGGGAGTCACCGCGAAACTGGAATTGCTTTCTCTTATTTGAATTTTCAGCACTTTAAATTTAGTTATTCTTTTGTTATTTTCAGAAATAAGCCCCCCCCCCCCCCTTATGTTTATTGCATTCATCAAGAATTAGATCACACCTTACGCAAAGAGGTGTAAACATTAGGACATGTCCCTGAGGATCCGATCCTGCTTACCTGTACTACATATTAGTGCAATTAAACAGTTTATTTTACATTTTTATTTGTTTAAATCGTGTACGACAGCGGTTTTAACAATGAGCCACAAGGCCCAATAGGCCCAACCATGCCACCTATGGTCCTATAAAAAGTTTGAAGGCCCAAATACTCTAACACCTTATGGCTCAATGCTAAGTAGGGCCCAAATGGTTCAAAATCCCATCGAAAGTCTAAAACCCACTAGAAGCGTACGCCTAGCATACAGCATCAGTACGCTTAGCGTGCTGGGTTCCTTGGTGGTATGCACAACATACAAACGAGTATGCCCAACGTGCAAGGTGTTTTGCACAAATAGCCATTAAGTGCTTAATTCATGAAGCCACTTCGTCCAATTCCAGATCTTGGTCATTTTGAAGGCCCCAGGGCATAAAGTTGGCAACTTTATGCCTTTGCATGCTATATGGGAACCCAACACCTTATTTTATCTGTTAAGACTCCCTTTAAGATCGTAAACTCATGCATGGTGCCATAACAACCATCAAGTTAGCCTTTTTATGCGTTTAGCATGGCAAAGGAACTCAGATTTAACATTTCTAACCTCTAGAGTTGCTCAAACTCACAAAAGAGGATCCATGGACCAAAAATGGACTTATTACCAAACCCTAACTCAAACTAGCAAAATGATAAGAAAGTTCTGGACTTTTTACCTCCAAAAGTTCCCTAAGATGAAGTGGATGCAGGATCTCGAATCTCAACCACGTCCAAGACTTACTCAACACCTTCTTCTTCTTGCAAACACACTACACTGGCCACCAAAATCACTTTTTAAGCTCAAGGATCACATTCACTTGTAAACTAGGGTTTAGGGACAATAAGAGGCAGTGGAGGCTGTTTAGGGTTAGGTCCAAATGACATAAGAGTGCTTAAATAGGGTTCATTTCCTAAAATTAGGGTTTTTATCTTAAGCCACGTACGCCCCGCATACGTGGTGCATGTCCCCGTCCAAACCATCCTAGTATGTTAAGCGTATGCATATGTACGCCCAACTTATGTAGGGATCTCCTTTGCAAAGTAACTTTCCTTCCAAGGGTTAAATGGTAAATACATGCATTTTGAATGTTACACTTCAGTAGATGCGGAATATAGAGCCATGGCTACTTTTGTTAGTGAAACTCTATGGATGTGTTGACTATTGAAAGACTTAGAAGCACCTCATGTTAAACTTACATCTCTATTTTGTGACAACCAGACTGCAAGACATATCACCAATGACCCCGTCTTCCATGAAAGAACAAAACATGTTGAAATGGATTGCTACTTTGTTCATGAATGTGTTGAGTCACTTGAAATCAAACCCATTCATGTTGACATGACAAACCAGGTTGTTAACTTATTTTGCAAAGGCTTTAAGATCACAACTTAGCATTGTTTGTTGCATTTTTCGTATTTGTCGTGTTATGTATGATTAAGTATTAATTAAATAAAATAATTGTTATTTTAAGTTATTTTTGTCATGTCACATATTGAATTTTGTTTTTAATTGGTTCGTTTTTGTGCTTGTTAAAAAAAAAGATAACATTGTATCGTGTAGGGCCTGTCCAGACAGTGGGCAACCCGGACGACCGTCCAGGGACCAAATCTCCAGGGGGACCAAACGTTTTAGGCTATGTAGTGTGTGTGTGTGTCTATATATATATATATATTATATATATATATATATATATATATATATATATATATATATATATATATATATATATATATAATTTTATTACCTAAATGATTTTTAGAGCGTAAAGTTGGTTCAAACTCAAATTAGCTCAAAGGTTAAACAATTTGGCTTGCTTATTATTGTCAATTGAACACATCTATAATGAAGAATAAATTATATGTTTTTGATTCTTTATTATATTTGTCTTTGAGGAACATTATTTTTTTCTTTTTTCCGAGGCCTCATATATGTGTGGACCGTCCATGATATCGTATTGTGTTCGTGTTAAATAAAATATTGTTGTGTTGTGTCGTGCCAAACAAAAACACAACATAATTTTTCGACTTGCACCCCTAATTGTATATGAGTAACTCGAATGAGTTACTTATATAATAGGAAATATAAAGAAGCAAACTATATATAACTATAAAAAAAACAACTATACAAAAGGAGTCTCTATACTACATACGTATAGAGATCCCGAATCTTTGTCTCTGAACTACATGTCTATAGAGATCGGAAGTCTTAAATGAATCCTATGTATATGTGGATGTATGGGTCTGTTGTTGACTCACAACGCTCAATATAATTCAAAGTTACAAAATAAAGTGGGTTTTTTAAGGGATACTCATAATATAATATAAAGTGATACTCATAATATAATATAAAGTTACAAACTAAAGTGAGTTTTTTAAGCAACACGATAATATAATACAAAGCTACAAACTGTAATCAATCGATGAAATGATGCATTAAAAGAAATACATTGCTTAGGCCGGAAAGAGTGGGCGCGGGGAACGGCAGCGGGAAGCTTCCCGTCCGGCGGAATACCGCACCATTGGTGCGGGGAAGCGTTATGCGGGAAACGGAGAGGGGAATCTCTCTCTCTCTCTCTCTCTCTCTTACTGCGATTGGCTGGGATTTTTTTATTTTCAAAAAGAACCGTTAATCAACGGTAAAAATGTAAAAAAAAAAAATTTGGCTGTAACGGGTAATTGTGTTTTTTTTTTGTTTTTTTTATCCTTTTTCCACTCCTATAAATACATACATATAACATCAAACATCACACTACCTTCTATTCTCTCTACTTTATATCAAAAAAAAAAAAAATCCCGACAATCAAACCCCAACTTCCGATCAAAGAAAAAAAAGTCATGGTTCGAGTATAAACATCCCTCCTCGAAACATTTTTGCTATCGATTCATCCCCGCAAGGAGTTTACCGCCCCCAACTCGATGCTCCCATTCAATCTTCACTACAATTCCAATACCAAAATGTTGGCCAATATTATCCGATGCAAGTTCCAAATGTTCCGTCGCAAATGTTTTCAAACTTTGTTGTGTTTCCGAATCAACAATCGCCAAATCAATCTCAACCCCAAACTCAAACTGAAACTCAAACCCAAACCCAACAACAACACCAACTTGTCGATGAATCAGATGACGCGGAAGAAGATGACATGGTTTCCGACACTCAACCAACACCACCATCACAAAGACATAAAGAGAAAAAACAAGCGTGTGAGGGTGTCGCACAACCGAGAAGACAAAAGCCGGCAACATGGGTTCCACACGAAGAGCTAGTTTTGGTCAAAGCCTGGGTTGATATTTCTGAAGATTCGATTCAGGGAAACACACAACCGGGAGACCATTTTTGGTTTTGCATTTTAGAATGATTTCGAGAGGAGCTAGGAAAATGTGACGACAACCGTACAAAGCATCAACTTAATTCAAAGTTTCAAGAAACAGCAAAGGGGGTTTAAAAAATAAACGGGTTGTACAACAACCTAAAAACCCAACGAAAAAGCGGCCAAGGCGACGAAGAAATACTTCAAGAAGCATTGCAGTTTTGCCTTGAGGAAGTCGGAAAACCATTCAAGTGGCACGATTGTTGGAAATTATTGGTCCAAAGTCCTAGGTGGAAAAAATACAAGCAAGATTTTATTTTTGTAGTCCAACAATCAAAGCGAACGAAAACGGACTCTAGTGGTTACATAACCTCCTCCGATGCTCGGGTTGGTTTAGATTTAAATCAGGACGACGAACTCGAGCTAGAAGAAATTGTCTGCCCAATGGATAGGGACAAAGCAAAGAGAAAAGGAAAATGGACTTCTTCGAGTGCATTTGATTTCAGCGTGAACATTGACGAAATGCGGAAGATAACATCATTGTTTGATCGATATAATCTAAATTTCTCTGAACGTTTAGCTTTCGACAAAGAAAAAAAAGAAAGAAGGAAAAATGAGCGGGCGGAGAGACAAGAAATGGAGGACATGAAGTTTTTGATGGAAAACGTCGATCATTTCTCGGGACCGGCTCTCGAGCTCATGATGAAGAAGGAAAAAATTATAAAAAAATATTTTCCATAAGTCGTTGTTGGTTTGTTTGATTTTTAGTTTGTGTGCGTTTTTTCTTTATTTTTTTTTTAATTTTCTACTTTTTTAGATTTTAAGTTTAATGTAAGTTTTATTTTAATTAATGAAATGTTTTTTATTTTTAATTAAATTTTATGTTTGATATTAATTTAAAAATTATAATTCATAACAAAAAAATAATTTTATTTAATAAAAAAAAATAAAGGAAAGGTTTTCCACAAATTTCTTGGGTTTTTGGTGAGAAAAAAAAAATTAAGAAAATGAGAATATGACCAACAAAAAATAAGGAAAGTTTCTCTCCCACTATTCCCCTCTTATACAATAACAAATTGTGGTAATTTTATATCATTAATCCTTTCTATATTTATTGGGTAATAAAATAGAAACAAGTATAGTTTTACCAACCAAAACAGTTACACAACTTTATTCTACCGGAACCATAACTTCATTGGTCCTAAAATAAGGCAAAGTCCACGGCGGATTGTACCTTCCCAATACATGCTCCCCTGCAATCTTAAACCCATCTCTCTCCAAGTCCTTCTTCAACTTCTCCAACTTCTCCGTTACAACTCCCTCCGTCGCCACCCCATTAAACCCCACCACAGCATATTTCTTCTCTCCCTCCTCCGCTATCACCACCCTCTCATCTACGGGCTTCGGCGCCTCCTCCGCCTTTTTGTACTTCTCCGGCAGCGTGAACTGCATCGTCACCCTTCCTACGTTTCCCTTTGTCACAACCGGCGAAGTCATCCCTATCTTTTCCGCCTTCGTTATTACTGGTGAAGTCATCGCGATCTTTTCCGGCTTCGTGTTCTGTGGGTTGCCAAATACGCCGATGTACTTGGCTAGAATCGAAAACCCAGCGTCTTTGTCCCCTTTGAATTGAGTTGGGTCGTAGGTGATCTCTGCCACCACCGATGGTGGGTATTGACGTATCTCGTAGTCGGCTGTCGATTTTACCACTTCGAATTTCGGTGTTTCCACCCTGAGTTTACCAAAAACCATACCCATATTTGCCAAGATATTTGTTGGTGTTTGCAAAGGGAGATATGGAAGCAATCAAGCAATCGTTTGTACGTGTTTTATTTGGGGGTTAAGGAGGTAAATACCTATGAACAACTGAACAAGCGGTGAGGATTGAGTAGGTGTTATGTGGACTTCGTTGCACCACGCTTAGTAGGGTATATGGAGTCCATTCAATAGAGTTGGGATCAGATGGGTTTCGGAACCCGAGTGGAAATTCAAGAAAAGACTCCTGTGCAAAACTGTTTTCATTATGAGAAAATGATTTTAGAAAATAGAATTAAGAGTGTATTTTTAATTTGTAATAAAAAATTTAGAAAATATGGTTGGTTAAAATCGATGAGTTTTTTTTCTAGAAATCTGGAAATTTTTTTACAACCAAACATACCCTAAAATACCTTATGCATTTCGAATTGGTTTCGGTTTTTTCTGTTTAGTTTCTTTTGTATTGGATGAGATCGGTTTCGACCTAAAACCGAAAAAACCAGAAACGGATAAAAGGAAAATCTAAGAAACTGAGAACCCAATAGAGTACCCCTATACGGTTCTAATCGATTCCGGTGTCGGTTTGATTCTTCGGTTGGGAGGGAAAACAACACCCTCTTCAAACTGTATATATCGAAGGGTTCAGAGTGACTTCGTCCACCCTAAGGTGATCATTTGCCAAGATGATCCTTGTTAACCTGTTTTGTTCCATATTTGGTCACTTTAGTTTTGGGTGCGTTCTAGTTCTTTGATGTGGGAGTTGAGTTCGTCCTCCATTATATTAAATATGTTTGGAAAAATTTGCTATTAGTTAAAAGTTTGAAGCAAAATAGCTAGAATATTTTGAGAATTGTAAAATTATATGTAATTTTTTTAATTTTTTTTTTACAATTTTCAAAAAAAACTAAAAACCCTCAAAATCTAGCTGCCAAACATAACATAAACTAATCATTGTTAATGTATTAACATCAACAAAGCATCCTAACATGCATCATCAGCTATACGCCCGAAGATATTAATTGTTTTCTAGACAACGTACTATGAATTCACTTGTGACAATGATATGTATTAATGTATTAACATCCACTCGTGACAATGATACGTCGCAAACTACCATGCTGATTTGTATTGTCACTGCCATCGTGAGTATTCATGAATAGGTTAACACCAATTTTGGCCAAAAAATATGTTTTTTTTGGAACGGCAGAATTTATTAAAAATAAACTAGCAAGGAGCTAGAATGATTACATCAAAGAAGTAGTAGTAGTTGGATTATGAAGCCACTCAACCCAATTTAACCTAACCCTACTACATCTATTAGAAATCCAAAAGAAGGATTTCTCAACAACATCATCAAAAATAAGGGATTTTTTAGGAGGAGCCGTTCCAAAAACATACATATTTCGAAATTTCCACAAGCACCAAAGTGAAGTTATAATAACCGCATCAAACGCCTTTTTTTGACCTCTACTTAAGTTCCCACCATCCGACCACTTGATTAGGGACTGCACCGATATTTGAGATGGTAGGGACACCCCCCACCATATAGCAACCCTACCCCAAATGCCCCGTAGGTCACTGCACCCTACAAAAATGTGGTCTATAGTTTCAGCAGCATCCAAGCAAATTGGGCACATAATAGATGGGACCGTAACACCTCTACTCGATGATCTCTCCCTCGTAGGGATACTAGCAAGCTGAATTCTCCAAACAAGAATGTTAAGCTTAATAGGAACCCAATTATTCCACCGAGTAACCACATCCCCCAAAGGCACCAGACCACTATCCAACGCGTATCGAACAGAAGACACAGAAAAATGATCCGAACTATCAAGAGACCACCCCAATCTATCCGGACTCTGTTGGAGTTGAATCCCCTGTACCACTTCCAAGAAAGAAAACCATTGAGTTTCTTCAATCCCACCTATAGGTATGCGTCTAAGATTATCCGTACTCCATCCAATTAAGTAACGATCCTTGACATTAGCTGAGCGGTTCATATCCAGAGCAAAAACACGATGGAAAGAAATCGATAGGGGATTATTGCCTTGCCACTTATCATGCCAAAAGGAAGTAGATGCCCCATCACCAATTCTAATAGGAGCTAAGTTATGGAAGTCAAAGCCCTTATCCTTAAGATTCTGAACAATCCTCGTAATACCACTCCACGGACCCAACACCTGTCTCCTTGAAATCAAAGGACCATTATTATCCCCCAAACCATAAATGCTTTTGACCACCCTCACCCATAATAAATTAGGTTTGTGAAAAAACCTCCACTTCCAACGTAATAAAAGAGCCCTGTTAAAGGCAAAGAGACTACCGATTCCCAACCCTCCAATCTCTTTGGGGGCCAAGAGTTTATCCCAACTAACCCAATGCATACGCCAATCATTTAAGTCTGCACCCCAAAAAAATATTGATCTTAATCTCTCCAGGTCCCTTATTACTGTAAGAGGCACCATATAAATTGACATCAAATAACTTGCAACCGACCCCAAAACCGCTTTAACTAGAGTCAACCGTCCCCCAAAAGAAAGACACCTGGCTTTCCATCCCGCCAATCTTTTCCGGAAAGCATCAACAATATGACTCCAGGAAGCAGTTCTAGCCATATTCTGCCCAACAGGAACCCCCAAATGAGAAAACGGAAAATACCCCGGTGAACACCCCATACGAGTAGCCAGAGAAGAAACTTGATCATCTGTAACCCCCATTCCATACAGCTTACTTTTGAGAAGATTGATCTTCAGACCCGAGGCTAGAAAGAAACATCTCAGGATACGAACAATATGAAGAGCGTTCTCCTGATTCCAATCCGCCAATAGAACAACATCATCAGCATAAAGAAGATGGTAAATGGTGATTCCCCCTATCGTTATTCCTCTATAAGCATTAGCTAGCTGAGCCGTAATAAGGGCCACATGCAAACCCTCCATAGCCAAAACGAAAAGAAAAGGAGATAAGGGATCCCCTGTCTTAAACCTCTAAACATTTGAAATTCCTGGGATGGAGAACCATTCACCAGGACTGAGACAGTAGCAGAAGACAACATCTCCAGAATCCAGTTACACGTTTTATTAACAAAACAAGAATGTTTGTCCCTAATTAGTCCTAGTAATCTATTAGCAGGCACGATATCCATTTGGGAAGGGTTTAAGAATGGTTTTGGGAGCCTTGGTACAGTCGGGAATACCACCTCAGGAGGAGGTGTGTTCTGAAAATTGATAGACATTTTCAGTAAGGTTTCCCCAAACATCCTCCACACACCTAGGGGTGAGCAAAAACAGAACCGACTAAAGAAAAACCAACAAAGCCGTAATAAACCGCAAGCGAAAAACCGAAACCGATGCAAAAATGTAACGCCTGTGTTTCCAGGCTTGCCATTTTTAGCAATGTAATGGTCTAGGTTAACCTTTGTAACCCGTTTTGAAATAATAAGATTGTATTATTTGAGTATTATGTGTTTTGTGTTTAATTGCTTAATTATGTGGTTTGATTAATTAAGAATAAAAATAAGCGTCAAAATTTAAGTGTAAATTAAACTTGATATCTTTAGATAATCTTGTAGTAGTTGAAACAAGGTTTCCGGAGATATAAAGAATGCCGAAATCCGAGTTATAACGAGGAAGTTATGACCTATCAAAGTTTTGCGACAGAACCGGCAACGCTGGATAACGTAAAAAGTGAGATTTACGTTAAAGCGATATTTAGCCTTAGTGATATAAACTAGAATCGAATATCTCGTTGTTAGTATCAAAGTGATAAAAAGTTAGGCGAGAACAGACGTCAAACGAAGAAGTTATGAATTTATAATGAAATTTTCTGTCCCGGCCTATTAAAAATAAATAATAAAAATAAATTCAAAATTAGCCGGCGGAGTCTAAATGAAAGTTGTAGAGTGTAGTCTCACCTTTCCGTGGATATAAAGAACGTCGAAAACGGAGTTCGTATGAAGAAGATATGAATTTCCGAAGTTTGATAAATAATTTGTATTTATTTTGAGTAAATTACACGAATGGTCCCTATGGTTTAGGGTAATTTGCGTGTTTGGTCCCTAACTTATTTTTTTAACTCGGAAGGTCCCTACTGTTTGTTTTTGTTACGCGCTTGGTCCCTGTGTTACCTAAAGATACTACTTTTCCCTTGATATTTTAATTTATTTATGTAAACACACCCCCAACCCCACTCCACTCACCTTACCTTACCTACCCTACCATTTTTTCCTATTTAAATTATAGTCGTTTTAGTTAAGACAGGGACCAAGTGCGTAACAAAAACAAACTGTAGGGACCAAGCACGTAACAAATACAAACCGTAGGGACCTTCCGAGTTAAAAAAATTAGTTAGGGACCAAACATGCAAATTACCCCAAACCATAGGGACCATTCGCATAATTTACTCATTTATTTTTAAATCAAAAATCCGGCATTATCCGAAGGGGGAGTCATAGATCTGATCCGAGGTATGCACCGCGTACTCGATTACGCCCCGCGTACAACCAAAGTGTCGACACTTCGGATGACGCATGCGATGACGCATTTCGGAAGCAGTACGCCCCGCGTACGCATGTACGCCCCGCGTACGACGAGCTTCCAGCCTCCTATAAATAGGATGCGAGGGTTCCGGGTTCCATTGCTAATTTCCTCTCGTTTTTGTGCCGAAGGTCTGCATTTTTACCCCCGAAGCCATCCTGAAGCCCCGGTAATATTCCCGAGTCCCGAAGCGAGTCCCGAGATCCCGAAGATCCCAAGAAGTGCGGTTTCCGAGCCGAAGCTCTGCCCGCAAGAAGTTCGATTTTCGTAGAGATCTTCCAGATCTGCTGAGGATTACGACTTCTGCAAGACGTAGTGCTGTCCGATCATCTTCTGATCAAGTGAGTGTATACGATTTTCGTGTTGGGAATGGATTGGATCAGCATCAATGATGCCGAAATTTTATGCAAGAAGAAGATAGTTAAAGTAAACCCGCCTGGAAAAGATTCGTTTATGGTGTATGGGGAC